GGCTGACACCACAGCACTCACTCTAGCCTGGGCAACAAAGTGAGACTCTATCTCAAAAAAATAAAAAATAAACAGTCCCTAGAACTGATTTCTAATAGCCTACAGATAGGTACAACATTGTTTTTCGAAGGTCTCAACATTAAAAAGGAGGGTATAGATGAAGCAGGGAATTATCCTGGGGCTATGGAAAGAAGGAATTGATATTGTTATTATGTAGCAAAGACGCCCATGTTTTAAATAATTATATTTTTCCCATCAAAACTTTATTTGGAATAACAGAATGCCAAACTGAATTGGTAAGAACTAATGGTAGCCTATATCTAAGTAAAATTTAGTTTAATATTTTAAAATATATAAGTAAGGGTAGACTATTTCTAAGTGAAATTTAGTTTAATATTTTAAAGTATAACGTATATTATAAAAACATACTATTCTAATATACAAAAGCAGCTAAATTTGTAAAAAATAAACTCAGGACCCAAATCATGTATTTGATTTCTACCTGTAGTTTCTTTAAACATACAATTCAATGGATCAGATTAATTAAAGTGAAATAATAATTCAAAGAATAAAAGCTGAATCTAGGCTTTAGAGATGTGTGGCAGTAATCCTGAATTTCTAAGAGCTTTTTGTCTGAAAGAGAGACTCATTCTCACAGGTTTCCCCTTACTCAAAGACCTGAAAATTGTGGGAAAACAAGCTTCTAAGTACCTACATGTATGCAGTATGAATCAGACCATTCTGAGTTATAGTATTACTAGATCTTCAACTAGCATGCTCTAATTATGTAATTTAAAATAATTTTTACAGGTTATCATATTTATCTTACACTGAAACTTGGGTTTGTAAGTTGACACATTTAAGGGAGAAAAGGGGGACTTATTCGGCACAAATGCGCAAAGTGTGGTTCCAGCTGCCAGGGCTGCGCTCCTGTCGCTGCTCCTGTTGTGGACTCGCCTCGGCCACGCTGGGCCCTGAGCGCCCCACTCTGGAGTCCCTGAAAGGCGGGTGCTGGGCGCTGCCCGCCCGTCGGGGTTCATTCGGCCTGGCCGTTCTTTCTCTCCCACTGCCCACTCCAGAAGGCTTTGGGGGAGGGGAGAGAAAAGCAACATGTGCTTTTTTTTTTAAGTGTAAATTTCAATATGTGAATTATATCTCCATTAAGATGTTTTAAAAATTCATTACTTTAAACAAAAGAATAAGCGTGCCAACTGCAGTCTCCAGACTGCCCATGCACGCCCTTTTCCTATTTACTGCCTCACAAAATATTTTAGCAAAAGCTTTATTTCTTCACTGATATATTTGATTTTACTAAAGAGGAAAATGCTTTGGAGTCTCATGCGGTGCATCACGCCTGAAAGCAGTCTCGACACAGGCGCCGAAGGGCAGTCTGACTTTGAGAGAACTTCTTCAGGGGTGGCTTGGAACTTGCACATACACACCTGATACCTGTAGTAACTACTTCGGTGCCATTTATACGTTATGCTTTGTGAAGGAAGGGCCAGGCCATTTTGCAGGAGAACTGAGACGCCTCCATGTGAGGAAATCCAGCCCCAGCTCCTGCAGAGAGCCATCAGCATAGTTTTGTGTTGCGGTGGAGATGTCCTCATTTCTGGGCTCACCTTTGATCCTCTGAGACAGGTTGCTTTCCTTCCACTTAGAACCATCTCAGGATGCCTCTAAATTGCAGACACAAGTTGAAAGGATGTTTCCAGAATCTGTGGTACGATGGAAGCTACCCAGGGACTTCTGGTCATAGTGATGAATTGCACTGGTGTAGTCCGGGCTGTGTGGGAGGTAGAATTTGGACTCAGAGTGTTTTTGATCAGCAATTTAAAGTGGTGTTCATGCAGGAATAAAGGGACCTGTTCTACCCTTGTGAGATTTCTCCCGACCCAGAGCACTTAGACAACAAGACAAGCAGCTGAAGGAGGCGGCCCTGCCTGCCCTGCCACAGAGCCCCTGCTGTGCTCCCGGCTTCCCTAGCTCAGCCGGGCCACAGCACGTGCTTCATGTGCCGCAGCGCTGACCACTGCGTTAAAGCGTGAACTCTGGACATCACCTCCCTCTCCCCAACACTAGATTCCCAGAGGACATTAGGACACCGGACAGGCAAGATTAAGCTCTCTGCTTCCTATGCCTAGCAGCAATGTTTGTGGTGCGTCGAGACTGCAGGTCAGGTATGAGTGCGTGCATGCTTGTGATGCCATATGTGTAACAGAATACGATTTTAAGGGGGGTAATACTTTACTGAGGGGGAGTCCATGAAGATTTCAGTAAAGAAGATTTCAGTGGCTGCTGTAGCTGTTCATGCTCCTGCCTTTGGCCAGGAAAGGCAAATGGCATCAACTGTACAGCAACTGATGTCTCTGGTTCCTGCCTGGCTAGGTGTTCTTTTAGCTGCGTCAATATGTGCAACATGTATATATTTATTGCCTTAAACATAGAACCTGGAAATGTAACAATGGGGTTTCTGCTTGAATGAGAATAAAGCCAGTTTCAAACCTGGCTGTTAGTTCAATCTCTGGAGAGGACAGGTGAGAGCAGTTAAGAGGGGTACTCTGGAGAAAACCTTACCTCCATTCAAAGAGGCAGGCAGATCCTTTGGAGAAAGACAAAACTGAAAATAGCATCATCCCTTTAGGACTATCAACTGAGTGCATGTATCATAAATGCAAAACAAATGAAAATGCACGTACCGTGTAAAACCCCGAAGTTTGCAAAGCTAAATCAACAGCTTCCAGAACGATTACAATCCTAAGGACTGAAACCATCACCCCCCTTCCGGCTGCTCACGGGGGGGGGGGGTGCCGGGAGGGGCTGCAGGATCATAGCCCATGGGGCACAGACCTGACCCTTCCGTGGCCTTACCCTGAAAAGAGGGTGCGCTGAGAAGAATGGTTATTTTCCTTGTAATGTGAGCTTTTTTTTTTAAGCTGTGAACTTTTTACCTTGCTTCATTCATGCTCCATTTGATCAGCCACTAATGTAGCCCATGCAACGCGGGCGCAGGCTTCTTAAAGTGTTTTGCTTTTGGGGTTCCTCTTCATCTTCCAATGCGGGTGGAGGGTAAATGCAGACGCCTTCCTAAACGAGCATGGACAGATCGCGGCCGGAGGGGCGCGACTCCCGCACCCCACCCGGAACCGGTTTCCCAACTCCCCGGGCCTGCGTGGCCGCCGACATGCAAATGCGGCCGCCGATATGCAAATGCGGCCGCCGGCCAATCGCGAGGCCGCGGGCTGCAGCACCTGGCGGCGGGCGGGCTGGCGCTGCGGCGGCGGCCCGCGCTGCGGTCGTGCCGCGCCGGGTCGCGCCTGCAGCCGGCTCTCGCGCGCCTCGCACCCCCCAGGTGGACCGCACCGAGCCGACCGCCCGACGGCCCTCTCGTGCGGCCGGCTTACTTGCGGCGGTGGCCGCGGGCGGGCGGGCGGGGCTGGCGGGTCGGCGCGGGCGGGGCCGCTGGCGGGCGGCGCGGCGGCGGGACCGGCGCTGGCGGCGGGCGGGGGCCGCGGGCCCGGTGCGGGGCGGGGCGGGGGCGGGCGGCGGGCGGCGGGGCTGGGCGCCGGCGAGCTGGTCTCGGGACGCCTTGGGGTCCCGCCCGGCGGCAGGGCGGCGCGCAGAGGCCTGGCGCCCAGGCCCCGGCCTTCCTGCGAGGGAGGCGGGAGCTGCCGCTCCGGGAGGAAAGGAGTCGCCGGTTATCGGCAGCACGAAAACTTTGGGAAGAAATGGTCTGTGGAATGCCGCTTCCCACGAGGGCCCCGCTGAGTCGCGGGCGGCCTGGCGGTCTGCGCCCTCACCGGGCTGGGTCTGTAGGAAGGCCCGGCACGCCTGGGGGCCCCACCCCCACTTGCTGGGGGCCTTAAGGCAGTTACTTTTTAAGAAATCGTGCTCCATTGTCAGGCAGCAAAACTTAAATCGTGAAAATGAAATCGCACCTGACACTGGGCAGAGGGAGGACCCTGAGCGAGGCACCCCGCGAGGCACGCCGCTCCCCTGGCGTGCGTGGGCTCGCCTGCCCCCCCTGGGCCGCGGCGCCCCGGCCCACGGCACCCCGCGAGGCACGCCGCTCCCCTGGCGTGCGTGGGCTCGCCTGCCCCCCTGGGCCGCGGCGCCCCGGCCCACGGCACCCCGCGAGGCACGCCCCTCCCCTGGCGTGCGTGGGCTCGCCTGCCCCCCTGGGCCGCGGCGCTGTCCCGGGACGCCGAGAAGTCGGGCTGCGACAGGGACCCTGGCTGCTCTGGAGCCGCGCTGTGCGTTTCCGTTTCTAATTAGTTCGCTTTAAAGGCGACTGAAATGACCGTTTCCAGTGCAAAAGCACCGTGGTCAGACGTATGGCTGGATCGGCCCTATATAGTTTGCAGCGGAAGTTGATTTACATTTTAATTAATTTTGGTGGTTATACTTGTCTTTTATTTATTTATTTATTTATTTATTTATTTATTTATTTATTTATTTATTTATTTATTTATATTTTTGAGACAGAGTCTCACTTTGTTGCCCAGGCTAGAGTGAGTGATATACTTGTCTTTTAAAGTGTCTTTTTTCCTGATTGTGAAAGTATTACGCGATCATTGTAGAAAGGGTGGAACGTACAGAGAAAGTAATAAACTGTTACCCATAACAGTATGTTCCATTTGCTAAGGCATTGTTTTTCACAGAAGCCCAGTCACATGAAAACTTTGCAGCTATGGACTTTTTTCTTTTTTTGAGACAGAGTCTCGCTTTGTTGCCCAGGCTAGAGTGAGTGCCGTGGAGTCAGCCTCGCTCACAGCAACCTCAAACTCCTGGGCTCAAGCGATCCTCCTGCCTCAGCCTCCCGAGTCGCTGGGACTACAGACACTCACTACCACACCCAGCTAATTTTTTCTGTTTCTTTTAGTAAAAGCAGGATTTTGCTTATGCTCAGTCTAGTCTCAAACTCCTAAAAGTTGGGAATTGACAAGGAAATAAATTTACTTAAAAAAAAAGTTGTAACTAAAAATAACGTATTCACATTGTTCGTGGGTTGGAACAGAATTTATTATGGCAATTTCTCTTGAATCTACCTCCCACATCTGCTCCCGGCAAATGGTCTGTCTGTGTGGCCTGCTTTGTAAATACATCTCTCTCGCATTAAGGCAGAGCGGGCACACAGGCCTTCCCAGTGCTTGCGGCTCAGCTCATGGAGTTAATATTTTTATTGGTTTCTACATCAGAACTTCCTCACCGTACATCTGATAAAGCCCTGGAGAAGGTTACCAAGGGACGTTGTAGAGAATTCACTTCCCTGGAGATTTTAAGAATAGGATAAACATCCAACTGCCCACGATGGCTTCAGTTCAGTGCTGTCTGGGTAATGAGGAAGACTCGGTCACCTCTCAGAATCCCCAAATCGAGGAACTCTAAGCAAATCCCGTCCTCGATGACCTAGGACCAAGAGAGATAAAGATTGCCAAAAGTACCTGAGCCAAGCATAATCTTTTGATTTATTTGAAATAAAGGTATTCCTTTGGTAAGAAAGATTTTAAATTACTTTTTAGAACATACCAATCCTTTTCTATTATGGATAGAAAATCAGCAAAGATTTCATTGCTTTCTAGGAAGTTATAGGTTGAACACAGCATAAATCCTATGATTCAAAGTAAATGAGTTGATTCATGGGAATTAAAACTTTTGTCTCAAACGGGGGCGGGGAGGGGCACGAGCCGTAAACCTGCGCCCGACAGGCCGGGAGCGCTTCTGCCTTCTGCCCGCAGCCGCCCCCTCGTGTGCCGCGTCTAGCCAGATTTTTAGAGCACCAACATTTTGCTTTCTCTCTAAAAACGTATTCTTGTTTTCCATTTTCATGTAGAGCCCCAGTAGCGCTTGTACCAAACCGAGTGTTCCTGTAGGTTCTGCTGGGCGGCGCTGCCCGGCGATGTCCATCCAGCGCGGGCCAGGCGGCCTGCCGGGCACTGGGGGAGGGGGTGCGCGGGCGCCGCGCCCTCGACCCTCGCGCCTCACAGCGCCCTAACTCCGACCGCTGCGCCCTCGGGCCTCAGCGCCCTAACTCTGACCTCTGACCTAGGCGCCCTCGCGCCTCACAGCGCCCTAACTCCGACCGCTGCGCCCTCGGGCCTCAGCACCCCCTAACTCTGACCTAGGCGCCCTCGGCCCTTGCGCCTCACAGCGCCCTAACTCTGACCGAGGCGCCCTCCACCCTCGCGCCTCACAGCGCCCTAACTCTGACCGCGGCGCCCTCGTGTGGCGACATCTCCCCTCTCCGTGGCGCCCGAGCGGAGCGGCGCCCTAGCTCCTCCTGCGGGCTCGCTGAGGGGCTGGCTTTCCAGGGTCGCGTCAGGAAATGGGCAGCCGGAGCCTGTGCCCGCAGCGCCCACTGGCCTGAATGGGGCCTGCGCCCGCGGGGCGGCGACCGTTGGCTGCGCGGCGTCCCCAGCCCGGAACTGCCCGCGGGGCAGCGGGAAGCGCGCGCTCCAAGACAGTGGGCACGGGTGCAGCCGGGCGTCGGGAGCCCGCGTCGCCACGCCTCGCTACTCCCGGGGCGGACGAGAGGCGCCACAGGACGGCGGCGCGGAGTGTGCGGCCGCCCGGGCGTGGCGTCCGCGGGCACAGACAGGCGGCGCCCGGGCGCGGAGTGCGCTCGGCCGGCGGGCGGCCTCCGCGTGCTGCGAGCCCCGCGGGCGCCTCAGACCGACCTGTGGGCGGAGAGCAGGCACAGAATGACGCACGGCGGGCGCGCCGGACAGCGTGCGCATGCGCCCGTGCGCGGCCCTAGGCGGCGCCGGCTGGCGGGACGCGGGATTTCCGGGCGACGGAAGCGCTCTACGCCTCGTTTCCGGTGACGCTGACGCGGGCACGCGGTCGCCAGCCCGTCGAGCTGAACGCCTGAGCCCGGGCGTCTCACCTGGGCCAACTCGCCCGCTAGAAGAGGCGCTTGGAGCCTAGCTCGGAGGGGCGCGCCTCTGATGCCCCGGGCCGCGGGCGCTGCGCTCGGAGCGTTTCCCTCTGGGCGGGCGAGGGCTCGGGCCACGGCGCTGGCGGGCTTGGGAGAGCGGTGACGACGCCAGTTTCCGCGCACGCGCAGATAGGCGCGACTCCGTGCTGCCGAGAGTGCGCCCTTGTGAGGGCCGCTCGTCTGCTCCAGGCCGTCGAGGGTCCTGTGACGTGGCCGGCGTCATTAGCGTTTATGTGGCTGCTTTTTAGCGCGTCACTTTTTGGCGTTACGGGGCATTTAGAGTGCTTGCCTGCCTGATGGAAGCCCTGCCGGGCTTGCCCTTGCCAGCTGGGCCGAGCCCCAGGAAGGAGGCGCACTAGGCAAACTCTTTGGTTTTTTTGAGGGCCGATTTAACAGTCAAAGGCTCACAGCATCTTCTGGGAGTCCAGGTGAAAGGTCTTCGTGTTGCGTCGTCTTCCCAAAGATGCAGGTAGACAAGTCTCTCCATCTCGGCCGGCGGGCGGCTCGCGCCTGTCACCCGGCGCTCTTGGGAGGCCGAGCGAGGCGGGCGGATAATTTGAGCTCAGAAGTAGGAGACCAGCCCGAGCAAGAGCAAGACCCCGTCTCTACTATAAATAGAAAGAAATTAATTGACCAACTAAAAATATATAGAAAAAATTAGCCCGGCGTGGTGTTGCATGCCTGTAGTCACAGCTACTCGGGAGGCTGAGGCAGGAGGCTCGCTTGAGCCCAGCAGTTTGAGGTTGCTGTAAAGGAGGCTGACGCCATAGCACTCTAGCCCGGGCAACGCAGTGAGACTGTGTTTTCTTTCTTTCTTTCTTTTTTTTTTTTGGACAATCTCTTAATCTCTGTGTCAAATGAATATTATGGTTTTTCTTTTTTTAATTTATTTTTTTCCAGCATATTGTGGGGGTACAAATGTTAAGGTTACGTATATTGCCCTTGCCCCCCTCGAGTCAGAGGTTCAAGCGCGTCCATTCCCCAGATGGTGCACGTTGCATTATGTATATATGTACCCATCCCCTCCCCCCACCTGCCTGGCACCCAATAAATGTTACTCCTGTATGTCCACTTAGGTGTTGATCAGTTAATATCAATTTGCTGGTGAGTACATGTGGTGCTTATTTTTCCATTCTTGGGATACTTCACTTAATAGAATGGGTTCCAGCTCTAGCTAGGAAAATACAAGAGGTGCTATATCGCCATTGTTTCTTACAGCTGAGTAGTACTCCATGGTGTACATATACACATTTTATTAATCCACTCATGTATTGATGGGCACTTGGGTTGTTTCCACATCTTTGCGATTGTGAATTGTGCTGCTATAAACATTCGAGTGCAGGTGTCTTTTTCATAGAGTGACTTTTGTTCTTTTGGGTAGATGCCCAGTAATGGGATTGCTGGATCACATGGTAGATCGACTTGTATCACTTTAGCGTATCTCCATATTGTATCTCCATATTGCTTTCCATAGAGGCTGAACTAGTTTGCAGTCCCAGTGGTCTTTTTTTAAAGGGACAAATTATATAACTTGAATTTTCAGTAAAATACATTGGACAGAGTAGAAAATATAATTTACTTAATCCATTAAGTTTCAATTATTTGATTTCAGCTCAACAAAGTATTAGGGAAAGATGTTATATACCTTGCCATCCCCAAAAGAGGCATTTTATTGTTGTGTTGGTTTAATTCATTCGATAAAGAATTTATCAAACATTCGCTGAGAACGTATTAACCTCTGGGAATTCAATCCTGAATAATAAGACGTTGTACACTCGAGGGGTCAACCGACACTCGAGCTGCACGCACAAATGCGCATGTGCTTTTCTGGGAGTGTCTTTCAGAGTGGGGAGCTCTGAGGCTAGTCCTGGTTTATTTTGGTCCTGTTTTGTTGTTTGTTTTTAAAGCTGTCTGCTTATAGTGGAGGTTTAAAATCCTGGTTCTTTTTCATTGGTGCTGTTTCCTTAAACACTGGAGTTTCTTGCTAAGGTTTTCTCTTGTTATTCCTTGCTGAAAGCAACAAAATGGTCTTATGTAAAGGCAGCTGGGTGTGGCAGAGAGAACGACCTAGGTTTGAATCTGAGCGCTGCCTCCTCAGTGGCAGGGGAGTCTCAGCCTGTTCTCGCCTGTAGACTGGTGAGAATGACACCTTGAGAGACGTATTATTAGTTGTCAGGTGAAGGCTGTTACAAGGATTAAATGACAAAATACATGGAGAAGTAACTAGCCTGGCACCTGGTGGGTGTTGATTACTACTGAGGTTTATGGAGTACTTAGAGTTAAGCACTATCTGCAACTTCTACTGACTGCCTTGACCTTCCTCACGCAGCCATGAGGGCGGCGCTATTATCATCTCCTTTGAAAGGTAAGGAAACCAAAACATGGAAAAGATGAAACAGCTTGCTGAGGGCAAAGGAGGTGCCAGGGTTAGAACTCAGTGCCATCTGTATCTTTTTTTTTTGAGACAGAGTCTCGCTCTGTTGCCGGGGCTAGAGTGCCATGGCGTCAGCCTAGCTCACAGCAACCTCAAACTCCTGGGCTCAGGCGATCCTCCTGCCTCAGCCTCCTGAGTAGCTGGGACTACAGGAAGCGCCACCATGCCCGGCTAATTGTTTCTCTATATTTTTAGTTGTCCAGCTAATTTCTTTCTATTTTTAGTAGAGACGGGGTCTCACTCTTGCTTAGGCTGGTCTCGAACTCCTGAGCTCAAATGATCCTCCCGCCTTGGCCTCCCAGACTGCTAGGATGACAGGCGTGTGCGACCACAAGGCCCATCCTGTATCTTAATTGGTGGTGATTGTTACCTTTAAGTAAAATCATTTAACACCAACAACTGGTATCAGTGCCTGAATTATGGCTGCATGGAAATGTGTCCTGCTGGGGAGAAGCAGATGGCTCCTAGTTCTTACGTGATTACTGGGTTAGCCACCTTTTTGCTTGGGGGCGGGGCCGGTGGGGAGAAGACTTGTTGGAAAGACACTAATGAACATGTTAAGTTCTTTTCCCAACCCCCCAAAAGTCCACCTGTCAGGTGGCCTTCTCTGACATCATCCTTCATTACTTACCCCCAATGGCTCCAAATAAGAAGTAAGTAGAGGCCAGGCGCGGTGGCTCACGCCTGTAATCCTAACACTTTGGGAGGCCCAGGAGGGAGGATCACTTGAGGCAAGGAGTTTGCGACCAGCCTGAGTGAGACCACACCTCTACAAAAGTAGAAAAATTAGCCAGGCATGGTGCCGCACCTCTGTAGTCCCTGCCACTTGAGAGGCTGAGGAAGGAGGATCGCTTGATCTCGGGATGTTGAAGTTGCTGTGAGCTATAATGATACCACTGGACTCTAGCCCTGCTGTCACCCTATTATTTTTCTTTAAAAAAGTAAGTAGATTAATTTATGAACAAAAAATATGGAGAGCCAAGGGCTATCTGTTAGGATTTGACCCAGACTTTTTGAGGTCTTTATAGGGACTGATGTAAATGCAGTATTTTCTTTTTCCTTTTATGTTTTTATTTTTTTGAGACAGAGTTTCACTCTGTTGCCCAGGCTAGAGTGAGTGCCATGGCGTCAGCCTGGCTCACAGCAACCTCAAACTCCTGGGCTGAAGCAATCCTGCTGCCTCAGCCTCCCGAGTAGCTGGCACTACAGGCATGCGCCACCATGCCCGGCTAGTTTTTTCTATATAGTAGAGATGGGGTCTCGCTCTTGCTCAGGCTGCTTTCAAACTCCTGACCTTGAGCAATCCGCCCTCCTCGGCCTCCCAGAGTGCTAGGATTACAGGGATGAGCCACCGTGCCCGGCCAAATACAGTATTTTCTTAGTCTCCAAAAGCAAGGCAAGGTGAAAGACATGTCCCGAGAGGAAGATTCCACGGGTGATGTGGGACATTTTGCATTCCCCATTTCCACTGGCATTTCCTCCACTCCCAGATTATGGAAAACCTTGAGCTAAAACTTTAAATAAAATTAAGTCCCAAGTGGTAGGTTGAGAACCCCATGGGTTTACTGAAGACTTGTAAAGTCATACTGGCCCATTTATTCAAATAATGTGTAGGATGAAGTTAAATAAGTGTGATACTATGACCTGTTTAGATATGAGCCTTTTCACCTAATTCCCCACCCCGCCCCAAGCCCTGGGGCTTGTGTGAGACACTCTGGCGTACTGCTGCCGGCACCCAGGCCTCTCCCGTGCAGCAGCGCAGGCTTAGCTGCAGAGACGCTTCCTCAGCCACCCCGGTGGTGCCAGGATGGCCCATGTCCGACCCGCCTGTGACACCCTCCAGCATGCAAAGGAGCGTGCTTTGGAGACACTGGGCTGCAGCCAGGGGCACAGCGAGAAGCCGCCTTGCAAGGAGTTGCTTGCAGCCCTGTATTTGAAGGAAGGCCACTGTGTGCTGGTTCTGTGCATCCAAGGAGCCTTATTATCTCAGGGCACAATTACTGGCAGATGAGACTACCAGGGCTCTGTTCTCGGAAGGGGACAAAGGAAATCTGGAAGAAGAACCTATGGGGATCTTAGCTGCCTGGTCATCCCTGCCACCACAAGGCCTCATGCTGTGTGCAAGCTCCACTGCAGCCTTGCAGCCTGACTCTCAATAGCCGTGCACCCTAAAGTTAGATGGCAGGATGTCACTGCAGGCCCTCGCACCCTCTTTCCCATGGCCGCCTCCAGCCCCTAACCCTCTAACAGTAAGCCCTTTGTCGGTTCCTGTGGCTCCCTCCATGCGCCGGCAGCTGGAATGCGATGGGGAGAGGAGGCTGCCCCCGCTGGCCAGGTCTGGGGCAGAGGCCGCTGGGCCGCAGCGGGGTTGGGGTTCTTGCAAAGGGCCACGGTCCAGTGCCTTCTCTCCGTCGTGTTCTGTGCCTTTCCCAGTGCTTCCTGCCGCCACTCTGGCCTGGCCTGACTGCCCGTGACCTGTCAAACTCCTGCCCGAGGCCAGCTCCCGCGCGTTAGTGCCCATAGCCCTTTGCGGTCACTCACTTCCCCCTTGCTTTCTGCAGGGTTTCTGTTCCCAGCAGTGTCTAAGTTGGTGGAGGCTCCTGTCTGGGAGGAATTGGCATCAAAGGCAGGTTTTCACGTCCAGCCTGAAAGGCCGGGCAGGTGCTGGATTGCAGGTTGAAGGTAAGAACAGACTTAGCTGAGAGCTTGTCTCAAAGCTGTTGTCATCTGACACACTGTCTGGTGGCTTCTTAAATTTCTGGCTGGGTGCGGTTGCTCACGCCTATAATGGGGGGAGGATTGCTCAAGGTCAGGAGTTCAAAACCAGCCTGATCAAGAGCGAGACCCCGTCTCTACTATAAATAGAAAGAAATTAATTGGCCAACTAAAAATACGTAGAAAAAATGAGCCAGGCATGGTGGCGCATGCCTGTAGTCCCAGCTACTTGGGAGGCTGAGGCAGGAGGATCACTTGAGCCTAGGAGTTTGAGGTTGCCGTGATGTGAGTGAGGCTGACGCCACGGCACCCTAGCCTGGTCAACAGAGTGAGACTCTATCTCAAAAAAAAAAAAAAAAAAAAACAGGCAGGTTTCCATGTCCAGCCTGGAAGACCAGGCAGGTACTGATTGGGGGTTCAATGTGAGAACAGACCCAGCTCAGAGTCTGTCTCAAAGCTGTCGTCCGACAAGCCGTCTGGTGGCTTCTTACATTTCTTCTCATTTGGGGTACCGTTGGCCCCAGAGTCGAGACAGAACTTGGAATTCCAGGGGGAAATTGAGCAGCCCGGGTGGGAAGAGCAGGGAACATGGTTACCAGTAGAGGCCACCACATCAGCACTCCTGAGGACACCACTGGACAGTTGTCATGCCCTTCCTGGGGCAAAAGCACATCTGCCTTCTAGGTATCTCTCAGTTCTGCGACTGTCTGAGTAAGCTCTTAGGGGGTGCAGTTGTGGTCACAGGCAGTTGAGGGCAGACTTTGGAGCCTTATGATGGGTTGAGTCCTAGCTTTACCACTTCCTTTGTGATCTTGGACAAGTTATTTAAATTACCTGTGCCTCAGTTTCCTTTTCTGTGAAATGAGGACAATGCTTCATAGGATTAAATTTGTTGTGTAAAAATGCTTTGTAGGCCGGGTGGTGGCTCACGCCTATAATCCTAGCACTGTGGGAGGCTGAGGCAGGAGGATTGTTTGAGCTCAGGAGTTCAAGACCAGCCTGAGCAAGAGCAAGACCCCGTCTCTACTAAAAATAGAAAGAAATTAGCTGGACAACTAAAAATATATAGAAAAAATTAGCCGGGCATGGTGGCGCATGCCTGTAGTCCCAGCTACTCGGGAGGCTGAGGCAGGAGGATTGCTTGAGCCCAGGAGTCAGGTTCCTGTGAGCTAGGCTGACGCCACAGCACTCTAGGCTGGGCAACAGAGTGAAGCTCTGTCTCAAAAAAAAAAAAAAAAATGTATAGAGGAATTTGACTCAGACTCAATCTAGTTAGAAAAACAAAATAAGGTTAATTTTACTTTTTCTCTGATAATTGAAATAATGTCAATTGTAAACAATTTGCAAGATACAGAAAAAGAAGAAAAATGTCACTCCCAATCCCATCACCCAGCAGTGACATGTTGGTATACTTGCTGGTCTTTTCTGTCCACGCATGTCATGTGTCCCTTATGAATACCAAAAGGATATGACACGGGAACATGGGGAAAATGACAGGCATACATGGTTCGGCATGTGGCTAATGCCTATGAGAAAAGTATCCGGAGCCCAGCAATCCCAAGAGGAATTCAGTGAGATGTATGGTGCAGAGGGCAGCGCTTTCAGCCCTACCTCTTTCCAATTTTTAACTTTTCTTTCTTTCTGTAGAATGAGGTTCCTCACTGCCTCAAATGATAAGAAGATTAACTGAATTACTGTTTTTTGGTTTTTTTAATAAATTTAAAATTTTTATAATAATCTTTTTTCTTTTTTCTTCTTTTTTTTAACTTTCAATTTTCTGGCTGAACATGAATTACTGTTTTTAAAGTATCTGGTATATATACATGCCCAGTAAATGTAGGTTTCAGTTCTGTTAGTAAGAAACTAACATTTATTGCCAGGCACTGTTCTGATTGTTTAACATGTATTAATTCATTCAAGCCTCATAACTACCCTTTGATGTAGTTGCCATTATTATTCTTATTTTGTAGAGGAGCAAACTGAGGCACAAGAGGTTTAGTGGACCCCTCAAGGCCACTCATTTACTAGGTGGAGCCGGCGTGGGAGCCCAGCAGCTGGCTGCAGAACCCGCATTGTCTGTGCCCACTATACTGCCTGCCACTCATCAGGACGGTTTTAGGGTCTAGGCTCTGGGTGGTTTTTGGTTTTTGGTTTTTGGTTTTTTTTTTTTTTTTTTCAGACAGAGTCTCACTCTGTTGCCCGGGCTAGAGTGCTGTGGTGTCAGCCTCACTCACAGCAACCTCAGACTCCTGGACTCAAGCGATCCTCCTGCCTCAGCTTCCCGAGTAGCTGGGACTACACGCATGCGCCACCACGCCCGGCTTAGGCTCTGGGTGTTTGTAGCTAGGGGCACACTGCCGCCACACCGTCAGTTTAACCTTATGCCCTATGAGAGGACCCTGGGTCTTTGCATGTCTTGCCCTGGACGAGTGTGTCAGAGGGTCCGTGGGTGGAAGGGCTGAAGTCAGAAGTAAGCCTGAAGCAGGTGAATGTTTTTTAGGTGAGTTAAAAGATTTGGCTAGTCATTTTGCTTTTTTTCCTATCTGCTCTTTCTCCATCTTTGAGTAAGGTTGACGTAGAGGTCATTGTGGTCAAGATTTAGAGATAGTTGACCTTATCATTACAGAAAGAATCAAAAATGTGCTGAATGCCAGTGGTATAAATTGTACACGTGGATCCATTTTGGAAGTTCCAGGGGGGGAAATCAAGTGAGAAAAAGCCATGTCAGGAGGTGCAAATGGACACAGGTGTTTTTTTTTGTTTTTTTTTTTTGAGACAGAGTCTCGCTTTGTTGTCCAGGCTAGAGTGAGTGCCGTGGCGTCAGCCTAGCTCACAGCAACCTCAAACTCCTGGGCTCGAGCGATCCTTCTGCCTCAGCCTCCCGAGTAGCTGGGACTACAGGCATGCGCCACCATGCCCGGCTAATTTTTTTATATATATATCAGTTGGCCAATTAATTTCTTTCTATTTATAGTAGAGATGGGGTCTCGCTCTTGCTCAGGCTGGTTTTGAACTCCTGACCTTGAGCAATCCGCCCGCCTCGGCCTCCCAAGAGCTAGGATTACATGTTTTTGTTTTTTGAGACAGGGTCTTGCTCATTCACCCAGGCTGGAGTGCAATGGCATCATCACAGCTCACTGCAGCCTCAAACTCCTGGGCTAGGCAATCCTCCCTCCTTAGCCTCCTAAGTAGCTGGAACTAAAGGTATGTGTCACCATGCCTGGATAATTTTTTTTATTTTTTTATAGAGACAGGGACTTGCTATTGCCCAGGGTGGTACAAGTGATCCTCCTGCCTTGGCCTCCCAAATTCCTAGGATTACAGTTGTGAGCCACCATGCCCAGCCTAGGCGCAGGTTTGAGACATGCATAGCTGGAAGGTTACATGTGGCCCTCCTATAATAACCTAAGCTGCTAGGCCAGGGCGGGTGAGCAGAAAGACAGAAGAGGTCTTTAGGTACAAATGAATGGCATGCCTCTGACAAAGCACTAGATAGGGCACAGGCCTGAGGGGGTGCACAGGGAGCTTCTAGATGGTAAATAATGATTCAGAAAGCAAAAAAAAAAAGTAATGAAGGGAAGATGACCCAGAAGGTTAAGCCTTAAATATGTAGGTAGCAAAAGGTCAGCAGCAGAAACAAGGGGCCTTTAAAGACAGGGCAGATCACTAAGAATGCCTGTGAAACCCTCGATGAATGCACGGTGCCCACAAAATTAGGAGTCCCGACGTCTGGCTGAGAACACGAGTCTGCGTCCCACGGCACCAGTTCTTAAAATCTTCCTCCAGACTCAAGAAGCCTAAAATCCAGGCCTGTTTGGCCTCCTGGAGGCTCAGGAGCAAGTGCTGGGGAACCCACAGCAGTGGCGTCAGAGACTTGACAACCCAAGGGAGAGAGGGTAACCGGAGAGAGATGTGATGATAAGGCCAGCTTCATGCTAGAAGGACACGGAGCAAAATACAAAGAAAAAGAAACTTGGAAAACCAAGAACATGGCACTTTTTTTTTCTTTTTTTTGAGACAGAGTCTCTGTTGCTAGGGTAGAGTGCCGTGGCATCAGCCTTGCTCACAGCAACCTCAGATTCCTGGGCTCAAGTGATCCTCCTGCCTCAGCCTCCCGAGTAGCTGGGACTACAGGCATGTGCCACCACGCCCAGCTAATTTATTTATTTATATATGTGTGTGTGTGTGTGTTATTAGTTGTCCAGCTAATTTATTTATGTTTTTAGTAGAGACGGGGTCTCACTCTTGCTCAGGCTAGTTTTGAACTCCTGACCTTGAGCGATCCTCCCGCCTCGGTCTCCCAGAGTGCTAGGATTACAGGCGTGAGCCTCTGTGCCCAGCCTAGAACATGGCTTTTAATAAGGCAAATGGTCATGGAAATGAGTACACACCCCCATGCACACCCCAGTGTAGATCCAAAGGAATTTCTCCTCTAAGCTTAAGTTTAGCCCTGTCTAAACGTACCCTGTCTACTTAATCAAGAAAAGCATTCCAATTGCTCCCAAACACAAGGCAGCAAGACTGTGCAGAGCCTGCGGGCGGATTGTCAAGGGCTGATCTGTGTGTCTGGAGACAGCCTCCTGCTGATGAGATGGACCAGAAGTCAGGGGTGAATTCTGTCTTCATGAAGAAGTGGACGCAGAGCCTTATGTAGAAAGTGAGTAGAAGAAAAGAAGAGGCCGGGTGTGGTGGCTCACGCACACCTGTAATCCCAGCACTGGAGGCCAAGGTGGGCAGATCGCTCAAGGTCAGGAGTTTGAAACCAGCCTGAGCAAGAGTAAGACCCCGTCTCTACTAAAAATAGAAAGAAGGTAATTGGCCAACTAAAAATATATAGAAAAAATTAGCCAGGCATGGTGGCGCATGCCTGTAGTCCCAGCTACTCGGGAGGCTGAGGCAGGAGGATCGCTTGAGTCTGAGGTTGCTGTGAGCTAGGCTGACACCAGGGCATTGTAGCCCAGGCAACA